GTGGGCCCCACGTAAGGTGACTGAATTATGCCACGTGTTAGCATATAACTGGAAGAAATAGTTCACCAAAATGACCGTATTGATATTCCGGATCATTCACGCCTTACGCGTTTTTTCGTCTCGGCAAATGACGTGGTAAATTCATTTTTTACCCTTTAATTAACCATTTCTCAATTAAAAATTTTAATCTCAATTTTTTAGATTTTAAAATTTATAAATCTAATTGAAAGTTATAAAATTTTATTTTTATAATAATTTCAAATTTTCAAAAATTTAAATACAAAATTTAAAATTTATGTATTTTTTTAACTTGAGAGACAAAATTGAGTGAATAAACTCTAATTTAATCCCGAAAATTTAATTCTATCATACAAATAATATATATATATATATATATATATATATATTTCAAATTCATCAATTTTATTAAATAAACAAGCATTAATCATACCGCGCATAACCAAGGTGGTTGTTCGACTTTTATACTTCGATTTGACTTCCGTAGGTAGAGTTCAGGTCACCTTGACCTCAGTCCAAGGGTCGGTTTGGGGCCTTTTGCCTTTCTCGTGACTCTCCCATGACCTAATTCACCCATTAGGTCGATGGCCGACCACAAGCTTGATTGAGTCTCAACGTATCTTGTAACCTTCTTATACTCATTCTAATAGGTCAAATTCACCCCTACCATTTTCTATCGTTGAAATAATAATAAATAAATAAATATATTTATTTATTTGTAATTCATTTTTCATGTTCCCGTCAGTTATTGGGCCATAGGCCCAAAGAATTTGGGCTTTTACTAAAGGTTCACATCCACGAATTCAGCCCAGTCCGCGAACCACCTTCATTCACCTCCATTGCCGCCTTGTGTTTGGCCTTTCACTAACCGGCGGCAGCTGAAAGAGCAACCCTACGGGATTCAATTCAAACTTCGGTTTCATTTCAAGCTTTCGCATCCAGTGGTCTTCCTCTTCTTAGGCTCTGCTAATTTTCGTTCTGTGCGAAATGAGAACTGTTCAGGTTGCTTTGCGAACCCTTGGTGGAGGCTTATCGCGGAGATTTAAGCAACCTTCTGTGCTCAGAAACCTCTCCACAAACGCCGCTCGTGGTAATTTCTACTTGTTTTGGTTTTGAATCCATGAATTTATTATTTGTACTGTGATTGCTGAAGTTCGTTTTGGCTTGGGCGGAAATTTGTCTGGTTTATTTGAAGTAAATGTTTCTCAAATGTGTCTCTGTTTAGACATCGGTTTTACGAGGTTTTGCTTGGAAAATCTCAAGTTTGGTTGTGTAATTGGCAATGTGATTCAAGGCATGGTTTTACAATTTTCATGTTTGAAACTTTTAAACAGACAGTGGCTTTGATGATAAGGGAAAACCTGATTCGTTTGAGTCTGCTGATGACTTTGAACGTCGAATATTCGGGGGTGTTTCTACGGGCGATTCCGGAAATGATGCTTTCTTTGAGAAGCTTGATAGAATTGGCAAACCTCGTGAAAGAATAGGTTCGCGACTGAGTGGAGGAAACAATTTTCAGTCGCTGTATGGGCTTGATGATAATCTTAACACGCTATCAGATGGGATGGATGGCAAGTTGAAGAAAGCTTCCACTTATTTTGAGTTTGATACCGAGGAAATTGCAAAAGACGATTATACATTCAGAGCAGATATGTCTTTTAAGCCTGGATCAACATACGAAGTCAAGGCATGTAGCTGAGCAACTAATTGTTTTTTATACTTGTTATGAACAAATCCTTATCATTATTCGTGTCAACTTCTATTTATGATTACATTATGCCTAATCCGAGCATAGCTAGACACTTAATTCGGATTAGATGATCCGTGATGGAAATGAACTTCACTACACTATCATTTTAGCAGTCCTTGGTAGAAGTGTTGCCTCTCTGCACCTTCTGTAGATGATGTTATGTGCTTACTGTTATCATTGTTCTAAGTACTTTTGAATTTATACAGGATCTGGATCTAACGAAGCCAGGTGTACGCAAACCTCCGAAAAGGGTTGAGTTTCAGGTGACAACTGAGGAGGTCTTAAGAAAAGCTGATTTCAGGGTGAGAATTTTTGAATTTCATTGACCTTGCCATTTTACTGATCCGCTTCTCATTTCATTATGGATAGCTAGGACTAGGAATAAAACGTGGTTGGAATTACTGGTATGGTAACAGACCTTTTGATCCGTTGCTATCATCTCTCGTAACTACCTAATTGAATATGGAATATCTTATGTTATGAATTGCTCATCTATAGAGTATCATAGCTTATGAACCGACAAAAAATGGGTTATAGTATTAAAAGAAATCCTTGAATTTGAATCTAGTCAATGTGAGTAGTTTAGAAATTTCGAAGTACAAGAAACAATCAGTTGGAACAGGGTTATTTACTGCTGATTTTCTGTACAGTTCTATTTAAGAAATCTGGCATGGATTATGGATTATTTGTAACACCCCAAGCCTACCCCAAGCCTACCCCAACCCCAACCCCAGGTAGATATTGTCTTTTTTGGGGTTTTCCCTTCCGAGCCTCCCCTCAAAGTTTTAAAACGTGCCCGTTAAGGAGAGGTTTTCACACTCTTATAAAGAATACTTTGTTACCCTCTCCAACCAATGTGATGGAAGCATCTCGTATCCTTGGGGGCCAGTGTCCTTGCTGGCATATCGCCCCGTGTCTGGCTCTAATACCATTTGTAACAGCCTAAGTCCACTGCTAGCAGATATTGTCCACTCTGGCCCATTACGTATCGCCGTCAGCCTCACGGTTTTGAAACACGTCTATTAGGGAGAGGTTTCTACACCATTCTAAGGAATGCTTCGTTTTCCTCTCCAGCCAAGGTGGGATCTCACATTATTCATCTTTGTTTTATCAAAACTCTCCGATCCCAGAACAAGGGGAGCCCTTCCCATTAGAAATTTGGTCTGTCATCATTGACATGGTGTGGTCATCAGTAGCCATGGACTATCAATGTTTTGTTTTTTTTTTTTTACATAAATTGCAGTTAATCAATACACGAGCTCCTGATATGGGCAGTGCGTGTAAACGGTTGTATTTTCATTGTCAATCAAGGAAGAAAGATCATGCAATGACCTCTAAGTTTCTACAGTTGCTCGTTTGCAACATTAAAGAGGTCATGAAACCATCACACTATCAATTTCATTGCTTCCAAAAAATAGTCTGGCTATAAGTTGGTCTTGTGGCCACTGAAATTTAGTCTTTTGCCCACGTCTCTCTTAAGGAAGTTTATTTATGTCACTTACCCCTGCTGTATGCATATCTAACAATGATCCAATAGTTGTTTGCAGAATGTTAGGTTTCTGGCAAACTTTATTACCGACGCCGGGATCATTATCAAGAGGAGCAAGGTAAACTTTTTGAACAAAAATCAGATTTTGAACAAGTTGAGTCATCATCCTTAATCTTATTTTATCACTTCGACAATTTGCAGACCCGAATTAGTGCCAAGGCACAGAGGAAAGTTGCGCGCGAGATCAAAACTGCACGGGCATTTGGCTTAATGCCCTTCACGACAATGGGAACCAAATCATTTGTTTTTGGAAAAACCATGGAGGATCTTGATAAGGACTATGAGTATGAAGTTTTCGACAACAATGATGGAGAACACCCGCTCGGATCCTAGACACCATGCTTTTAGATGGTTTGTGAATTATTTCCCTCACCCTTGTCTTTGATCCAACCATTATCTCAAACATTACATGACTGAACTTGTTCTGATTGCTGATTATCATCCTGCCTCAAGTCCCCAGAGTCCATCTTGCAAATTTGTTCATGCAGGAAGATATTTCAAAAACTTAATAGTCATAGCCTTCTCATCGAGATATTCTTAAATTTTGTTTTATATATTGAATTTCTGGTTAGGAGCCATATACTATAATTTGCGTATTTGTTTTTCTTCTACGGTATATTATGTATCGATGAGGTAACTCATCAGCCATAAATTGGAACAGTTTGTTAGTTTTCCTCCATTGACGTGTTAGGCAGAATAAAATGATGGCTGCTTTTGTTTCGAATCAATGGCATATTAACAGAACACTGGAGCAAAAATTTTCATAAACTATTAGTTTGCATTTGATCTCGGATATTGATGTTGAACCAACCCGTGTTTTTTCTTGGTTCCTTGTTCGAATCAATCAGGAGATGAAATTCAGAGTCGTTGCTAGGGCTAGTGATGAGATTCGGGGTTGTTGCTAGGGCTAGTGATGAGATTCGGGGTCGTTGCTAGGGCTAGTGATGAGATTCGGGGTCGTTGCTAGAACTTGTGAAAATGAAAGACGTTGCTACCTTGCCAATGGCTGGTAGCTTCAAAGGGCAAGTTTAATTCTAGGCATATATCTGCATCCACTGACTTTGTCATCGTGACAAAGCTAAGCGGCCAAAGGGCATGGACATCTCGGTTTTAGTCCGTGCACAAATATCGCAAACATTTAAGCAAATAAAGAGGAGCAAAAATGATTTAGCCACAGAGTACTACACGATAGATCATATTTGGGTTGAGAGTACACATTTTAACCAGTTAAACTATATAGATCATATTTGGGTTAGGAGTACTCGTTTTAACCTGTTAAACTATTTCCAAAAATTAACGATCAAGGACTCGCTTGGAGCTAAGAACAACCCAAATCTAAATAATGATCAAGGACTCACCTGGAACTAAGAACAACCCAGATCTAAATAACGATCAAGGACCCACTTTTAATCCTGATGAAGGATTAAAACAAATACATGACAAGAACAAGGTGATGACTAGCCAAAACAGACAACTATATTCAACGATTTTCAATCTAGGAACAGCCAAGAAAGCTTTCCCCTGATGAATAAAGATGAAAAATTCTCAGGCATCAAAGATAAATTACACTCACAATTTACAAAATCTGTGTGGTTTTCATCTTTCTGATCGGTTATCATTTCATAGATAATCATGGTTCAACCAAACCATTCGTTCTAGTATCAAAAATTCAATCCTAGAACATGAAACACAAGTAATTATCGGATAAATCAGTTGCCAAAAGAACCCATATAGGAATATAATTATTAGACAAAACCCAGATTACGAATATATTTATTGGTTTCAACTCAACAAACGAAAGAGAAAAACAAGTTTAGTCAAATAGATGATATGGAGCTAAAAGGATTGCTAAACCTTCAAGATTTCAACAGAATTCTTGAAGATCATCACCTTGTCGGTAGGTAGATTAGTAGCGAAACCCAACTTCAAGCCTTTTATCTGATTCACAAACCAAAAATGATAAACTGAAATTACTCCGATCGATTTGCATACCTCTCCACATTCACATTGTCGTTATTGAGGTTGATTCCAGCCATGGCCTCACCCAATCCAGAGCTCACCTCTGCTAGCACATCAGGATCGCTGTAATGCGTAGCGGCTTGAACGATTGCCCTAGCTCGCCTCGCCGGATCGCTGCTCTTGAACACGCCCGAGCCGACGAATACTCCGTCGCATCCCAACTGCATCATCATCGCGGCATCGGCCGGAGTTGCGATTCCTCCAGCCGCGAAATGCACCACCGGTAGCCGCCCGAGCTGCTTGGTCTGCATCACCAAATCATACGGTGCCCCAATCTCTTTTGCGTAACAGAAAACTTCATCATCGTCCATATTCCTCAGCATCCTAATGTCGCCCATCACAGACCTCACATGCCGAACGGCCTCCACAACGTTTCCAGTTCCGGCTTCGCCTTTGGTCCGAATCATCGCAGCACCTTCGCGAATTCGGCGTAGCGCTTCCCCTAAATTTCGACATCCGCACACGAACGGGATCCGAAAATTGTGCTTGTTGATATGGTTCTTATCATCTGCCGGAGTCAAAACCTCGCTCTCATCGATGTAATCGACACCAATAGCCTCAAGGATTTGAGCCTCAACGAAATGACCAATTCGAGCCTTAGCCATGACCGGGATGGTGACAACCTGCTTGATTTCCTTGATCAGTTGAGGATCGCTCATGCGAGCGACTCCACCTTGAGCCCTAATATCGGCCGGAACTCTCTCGAGGGCCATAACGGCGCAGGCGCCGGCCTCCTCCGCGATTCGGGCCTGCTCGGCATTAACAACGTCCATAATTACGCCGCCGCGAAGCATTTGGGCCAAACCGGCTTTGACGGAGAAGGGAGATTTCTTGGTAGTCTCACAAATGACGCCATTGCCGTAAACGGTGACTACGCCAGTGTCCGCCATTAGAGGAAGAAGAAGGAGAAAGAGAGGAGAGGGAAATTGAAAAATGGTTTAGAAAGGGTTATGTGTCAAAGGCGCGGACAGGGGGTGGCGATTAATAGAATGCAACTGCTGTCTTATTTTCTATTAAATTAAAGGTTAATTCTTTTCTTCTTTTTTTTTTTTAATTAAAAAAAAAAACAACAACTTTTAAAATATTAATTTAGAGTTATAATGTGTGAACCATACTTTTTTTTTTTCTTTTTTTTTTCAATAACTAATTCTAACCCTCCAACCTTTTCCGAAACCTTCAACGGTCTTTTGGAGAAAAAAAGTTTAAGGGTTAAAGTTCGGGTGCATCTTATTGTTATAGATAATAATTTTTAATCCTATACTCAAATATCGCTCTTATTCAGATGTAGTTTCGGTTCATTCATATATATACTCATCATTTGATAGGTAAATTTATTTTTTAGAATAATTTAATCAATGTTTTTTTTTTTTTGTCGTTTTTCACCGCTACAATTTTAGTTGGACCTTGATTTTTTTTTTTTTTTTT